AATTATCTTAATCCACAAATTTTTAAGTTGTTACACCTGATTTACACCAGCAAGAATATTTTCAGCTTCATTATGAAATTAGGAGCAACTTATTTATTTCAGTAGTGTATTTTACTCGGAACAGGTCAAAAAGTGACAGACCACTTTTTTTATTTTAGCATGAAAAATCCTATGTCAGCTGCTAGTAACTTATGGTTATACACACTCTTGGTTATTAATGAGATGTAAAACCAAGGTCCTGACCACTTGTGGTTTTTACAGATCTCTCAAGAATTTTCCCCAGAGCAGAAGCGTTAAGTTTGGTACCCTTGCCAAATCCGAAAGGGAATTCCTACCTAAATTCCCACTATGTTTTGTGATTGAAAAGTTACTCGTCGCTCCTCTAAATGGCTCTCTCCAAAAGCTTCTCCCCTCCACGTCAAGACAAACTGCCCTCAGTGCTTACACCCGTAACGATTCCAGCGGAAAACAGTTCGCGTGAGCAAGAGCCGCTCCGGGTGAGAAAACACCACGGTGTTTGTTGCTGTACCACAAGGTTAACCCGGGACACCCCGCCTGTACCCCCGGAGTTCTGGCCGGAGGGGTGCCACAAAGAGGTCAGGGACTGAAGAGCACCAACGGAAGAGGCGTAGCACCGTGCCGAGTCAGACCTGTGACTCCAGCGTTATTTTACGTGGCCACAAGGAACTGCTAGGAAGCGTGTTATTTGTTATAGCCCTTCTCGTTCAGAACACGCCAGGAAGCGCTCAGCAGAAGAAAGAGATGGTAGACAAGACACAAAGAATAAAACTCTTATCTGACTACTAAAGCTGCTGCAAAACCAAGACAGAAAGAAATACTCATGCTCCCAGACAAAATCTGTATAAGAAGTAAGATGTTATTTCACTTCCTGTAAGAACCCTAGAGCTGCTCCCAGCATTACAAAGATGAGCAGATTGAGAAGGCTTGGAATGGGAGCGTAGGCTTATGAAAACCACCCGGTTCTTCGCAAGGCTTTAAACGGCAGAAAATCACGAACGGATATACCTCTTGTGAAGTTTCTGTATTACCGCTTTCAGAAATGAGAGGGGAGAAAAACAGCCATCCCTCTCTTACAGAGCGGGATGAAAAGTGGGATAACGTGAACACTTAGGACAATTCTTCTGAAGATTGGATGAAAAAAGGAATGAAGCCTTGGGGGCAGGGGCAGTGGAAGGAAAGGTGCTACTTTATCACATTGAGTCAGTTATCCTCAGCACTTCTGTGTGTTTATTACGCGTCAGCAATCACAAATTAGACACAAAAGTGTGATAAAACTAGCCATTCCTAGAAAGCGCTTCTCGCAGATGATGCTTAATTCAAATAAGATGATCTGGTGACGACAGATACAAAACACAAAAGAGAACATCTTCTACAGAGAGGTCACAGTCCACTCTCTCTCGTGGCTTTAGCACTTGTCAGGCCCAAAAGTACTTTTCTCAATTACACATGCGATCACACACTTCACGCTAAGACTGAAATCTCTTTACTGAGGAGGAATGCAATCTGTACAGTGTCATTGAACCAGCTGCTGTTTTCAATTGGAAGCAAAAGGCCACAAAGAAAGTATTCAGAGAGATTTAAGTAATAAACCAGGTAGACCTAGCCCTAGATATTTGACACGAGGCTGAAGGATCACAAAGGAAATAAAATCTCAAAGACTCCTTGGCTACGTAGTGGGTAACTAAATTAAAAACACTACGCTATTTCTTGCAGAAATTCCACTGAAGGTAAAACACTGTCGACATCAAATCACCCCTGAAATTTCGCTGGGACTCTGCGTCAGTGATTTTCCCCAGGTCAGGATGCCGCCTTTGAGTTGCTTAGCTGCACGACCCCTAAAAGCGGCTCTCAGAACTGCTGAAGTTGGAAGGGACATGCACAGATGAGTTAGTTCAACACGCCCTGCTCTAAGCAGGTGAGCTACAGCAGATGACTCTGGAACATGCGCAGTCAGACTTTGTCTCCAAGGAAGGAGACTCCAGTCTCTGTCCAGCCTTTCCCAGCGTTTGTAGTGTTTTTACTCACAGTAAAGAGAGGTTTTTTCTTATGTTTAAGTGAAATTTCCTGTATTTCAACTTGCACCCACTGCCTCTCGCCCTTTCACTGGGCACCAAAAGTCTGACCCCATCTTTATTCCCTCTACTCAAGTAACTCCCGATGAGTGTCAACCCTATATAACCACTGGACAATCTACTATCGCTGCACCCCTGTTAGTATAGTATCACATCTTGCAAGACAAGATCTCTGCTGGAAAGGGGAAGGCAAGCCTGGCAAGTAGCAGCTGCAGGTACTCAGCCACACAGAGTCAAAGACAGAAGGTCCAGCAGGTTACAACCCCTGTATCCATCAGTCACCTTCTGCGCTCTCACTTAGTCCATCCATGTCGGAGAAGAAAACTCTCACGCACTTGGCAAGCACATCATATTGACAGCAACTCAAAGATAAGCCCAGAGAAAAGCATTTAAAAAAACCCAACACACTTCCTATTTCCTTGGAAATGTCAGGTTTATCAGGAGATTTGAGACTTCTGCTTCCCTGTTTTAGGTAGAGGTTTCACCACGCGACTCATGCACTATGAATGTTAAAGGGGAGCTTTCTCTACTCCTATTTGAAATGAATTCCCAAGAGAAATTTATCCCAAATTGTTTTGCGTAATTAGAAGGAAAACACATCTACCTTTTCAACAGTATGAATAAAAATCACGACACTCAGCTAATATTTCATTCCCTGCTCCTTCTACTTTGATAAACCTACCAGCTGGCCACAGAGTCTTCCAAGGTAAACACAGCCGTAATTTTTACAAGGCCAAAAAACCCTCCATCTGTCCTGTTATGTGCTGTAGAGAAATGAAACGGGACACTGCTGTTATTTCACTTTCCTGTGTAGGGCATCCCTTCATGAAAAAAACCTGCTCACAGAAGTACCTTCCAGGCTCAGAGAGATCAGTCTGTCATAGATCTCTGCTCTCAACCTTCCCTTAGCTTGATAGGTTAGGTAAGGATAGCTTCACTATTCCTGTACTTCTTCCCTCAGTGAATACAAATTGTCATCCTTTGCTGTAAATGGCAACTGTCATTTACCCCAGAAATGGTGGCAATTCTTCAGCAATTTAGAGTATGTGTGAAATCATGCCTTAGCTTGGGCAGGTGCTAGATAAACATCAAATACAATACAGTCACCCATGACATTTAGAAGCAATACTTAACCGGAGCCTGGACTTCAACCTCAAATAGATTCCCAGGAGAAAAGTTCACATTGCAAAATTTGGGAGTGGGTATCAAGCGGAGCTCATAAGCATTTACATCAAAGATTTGGTTTTGTCCTATCCTTATTAAACAGAGCCTGCCTTTACTGAACTCGCCGGCTCTTACTGCAGCCAAACCTTTGCCATGGATATTTTACAGCAAAGTATTTCAACACAGAAACTGCAGCTTCCAAACAACGTCTGTTTTAATGAATGCCCGCTCGCCTCCAAACGAGTACTGTGTTCCTTCTAGCAATAATGTGTGTATGACTGTATCAGAATTAACCAGGACCAGTTTCTGCTTGCAGTCCAATACATTTCACATCAAGCTAAATTAATTCCAGAATAGACGAAAATTCAGTTGCACCAGATATGTATTGGCCTCTTTTGCAAAAGCAGAATGAAGCAGTTCTAAAGAGAATAGAAAGTGACTGATTATAAGCACCTCAAGAATTCAGCGTGTATACAACCTGCCCTGACAGAGTCCTGCAATACACGACAGAAAAATTAGCTGAAGAAATGCTGCTTATAGTCCCTTCATGATAATTTTAAGTGCAGCAGCCAGATTTTTTATATGGAAGACTGTTTCCCAGACTTGCCCAACCTTAACCAATTACTCTTACAACAGCATTGAATAGGATATTTAGAATGTCAGCTCAATTGTTCTAACTTGCCCCCTCTGCCATGGCCCAATTTCTGACAGGTTTGTTCCTCTATTGCTATAGTGACTGCCATCCCCAATGCTTGTGATCAAAGTCATGTTTCAGAGGTCACCTCCGTTTGAAGCAAGGGACATTTTTGTGTGAGCGAGGGAGGGGAGAGACAAGGGGCTGTGTCACAGGGGAGACTCCTTCCTTTCTCAGCGTTGTCTCCCTTCCATTTCATCCTGCTCCTGTCCTAGGACCTGCTTTTACTTCCCTGACCTGCTCTCCTGCCACCAAGCATTCTATGCAAGTTTTCATCTTAAAGGAGTCTGGGGGCTGCGATCAATTGACTGGATTTTTTTTGCAGCTTTCGGCCTGGGGTGGTTCTCCCAAACATGGAACTGGAAGGATCCTGCCCTGCGAAATTCACCCCCTAAGCCTAGCAAGTCATCGGCTACGGCCACTGAGGCATCACACACAGAGTCTTACACTTGCCACCATCCTGAAGCCTTTCCTACAAGAGCCACAATCCTCTTACATCATCTGACTACACCAAAATTTTTCTCCTCTGTAATTGTCCTGGTGGAAGGTGCAGTGCAGAGAAAGCTCAGGCATGCTCAGCTGTTTACTGTTTCCTAAGACAGTTTTGAAATAATGTTCTAGAGCACAAAGGCTTTGCCTGCAAGAGATACATTAATATTCCGGTATCGTTATTTTACCGCGATAGCCCACTTGCCTTTCTTTAATCAGTTGTTTCTGAAGAGAAGAGTGTTCATACACTAGAATTCCAAAATGGCTTTACACCTAATCAGCTCCTATGGGACTGGAACTCCAGTCGTGCATATTCTAAATACATATTCTATATAAATACATATTCTATATTCTAATAAGTTATAATAATAAATTGCAGTATGCCACTATTTGCTTCAGTAAGCTAGAAAATCAATCATGCAAAGGCAAAAGAGAGAACATTTCTCTTTAAAATCAAATAGAATTTGGCAAGATCGCCTCAACCGTTGGAAAAGGGAACCAGCATCACATTACTGCCAGAAGTAAGTTCTACCAAGCACTGAAAACACATAAACACCTACCTTGGGATGCCCATGCAGTTCTTCACTGTTTGAGAGGGTGGCATTGAAAGGGTCTGTATACTGATTAGGTTCTTTCTTCATCTTCCTCTCTCTCTTTGCTGCCAGAACTCTGAAGTGGCAAAACTGCTGACAAAGTAAAGTTGCCACAAACATCCAGGTGCACCCCTTCATTTTGAAAAGGGAAGGGCCAAGTCAGGAAGGGCACTCTCCAAGCACAAAAACCTTCACCACCAATAACAGGAATAGACAAAGACTTCTCTCTAAAAAAAATTAAAATAAAAAAAGTTAGAACTATTAAAGATGATCCTCTGGGCTACGCAATGTCAAGTGAGCAGCACGCACGGATGCGCTGGTTGCTGGCGAGATCTCTGTGCAAGCAGGACACATGGAAATGGTATAGATAAACTTGTTTGAAATCTGGGTTCACTCGAAGAAAGAGGTAAGTCCATTCAGCCTCTTGAAGCTTACATAAATACAAGAGGCCCTGGAAAGTCCTGCCACCCACCTTGAAGTGTCGCTCCCCCCCCCGCCCCAATAAGTCTTCAGACTCGTTTAAAATGCACTCAACTATGAAACCTAGAGAAGTCAAATTGCTCAGGGCAGCAGTTGCTCAGGCCGGAGCTGACAACACAAACTCATTAGGGGGGTTGTTAGGTTGTTCCTCTTCAACAGAAGATTTCACTTTCTGTCACTTGAAGCATTGTGTTCAGTTCAAAGCAGGCTTGAATACGTTCCATCCATTCTCTCTTGAGTGGTATTTCCCCTTCCTCAGCGACAAGTCCTCATCCCTTCCTTTCAAGATGCTGGGGAACTGTAACCCAAGGTTGCTATAGCCACTGTTCTTCTGAAGAGGCTGAAAGCATCACAGCTCAGCCAAGTGCTGAGCCTTCTAAGGAGAAAATAAATTTCTCATATGATAAAAAGTTACAATAGGGAGAGATAAGAATCTGAGGATGTACCTAGGTCCATTAGGAGCAGATAGAGTTTTCTCAAGTCTAGCTTCTTTCCCTCCTTAGCTGGGCTTATCTTCACTTTTCTTTAATGAGACGATGAGCAGTAAGTCCCGATGCCGCAAGCAGCTGTCAGGATGTAGAAACTCGTGTCTTTTTCATCCTCATCTCCCCTCACACTAGGCAAGATTTCAGGTACCTCTGAGCATAGATCAAGTCTGATTTTTCTCGCTGCTTCTTTCCTCAGCTGCACACTGGCAAAACCCTCCTCAGCTTTTGCTTTACCTCAGCAAATAAGTACTTCTTTCCTGAATGAGTTTCCATCAACTTCAAGAAAGGGGAAAAAAAAAAAAAAAAAAAAGGAGGAGGGATCACATTCTAATGAGCTGTCAAGCCTATTCTCTTCACATTCCTATTAGACTCACTGATAAGTGGAGCTGGCCCGTGTGCCAGGCAGATTTAAATCAATGCCCGTTCCCTGCTCCCTCCCCTCAGCTCTATTCTGTACCTCCCCTTAATTATCTCAGAGAAATCACCATTTTTCTGGGAAGTTTGTAAAACTGTACATGAGTGTGTGGTGGAGCTAAAAATATGTGGCTTGGAATACGCACTCAGCATCGCACCACATATCGATACGTCAGAACTCTCGCTTTATGCTCCCGCGAGCCTCGCTGCATACACTTTCCCCTGGCTCTCATTAGAGGCTGGCTCTGAGGGGGCTTTCCCATTTCTTTACAGGAGGGTGGTCTGTTTATTAAAAGTAACAGAAAACCAAAGGTTACACATCTCCTGCAAGCATTTCATAAGGGAGATCTTGAAGGACCTGAACAGTCTGCAAGTCTTTGTCAGTTCTCCACCACCTAGAACAAATATTCCTATTCTTTCTACAAAAATGGAGTGTGATGCAAACATTTAGTCCAAGAACAATAACATGTTGAAGATCACGTAATCTGAAGTCCCTTACGCAGTCAGCAAGCAACAGATTTGCTTTCTTTTAACAATCCCTTTACCCTGCCTTCTGTAATCCAAGTAATACCAGCACGGTTCTTCACTGGACTTTAAAGGCAGCCAAGGTGGATCAGGAGCAACAGGTCTATTATCGATGACTCGGGGGAACTGAGGCATGAACAAGTGCAATATCAATAAGTAGAATGTAGATTTATTTTTTTTTTTCTTTTAAAGCATGTTTTGAGAGAAGCGGAGTTTGGAAAAGAGAAGAGACTGAGAGTAAGAAGGGAAGTTACACAGAAGCTAAATAGTTAACAGCATATCACCCCTCCCCCAACTAGCTCACATTCCATCAAAACTACGTGGCAGACTTTATTTGTTAATAATATTTAACTTTCTTTGGCGCCTTCTCATACTTAAGCCTCTTTTTTTCAGGTTAGTTGTAGACAAGCCATGAATTTGTAAAAGTGCACTTGATGACACATTAATAGGACAATCTGTCATATTGCAGCTAAACAGCTTGACAGATCCACACACCACGGCAAGGAATGACATCCAGGGCTGGAATGGGGCAATCACTTTTTTGGTCTGCTGGTGCAGGCTGCATCTTCTGCCTGCAACATCTCCTTTCCCATCCCAAGCACCAAATCCCCAGACTATATCCTCAGATTTGGGGGAAATGAATCCTAACTGCATTTGCAAGCATAAGGTGAAGTTACTTGATGGTCCAGTAGGACAAACTGACCGTAGCTGACTCCCAGCCGTGTATTTTTCTCTGTGATGGGCTGAAACAAGTGTCAGCACAGTTGTCACCTCTCCTCCAACCTTCAGTTCAGCATTTGTGTTATCTACAGAAAACCACACACCTTGCTGCTGCTGTTTCACATCCCAGTTGCAGCAGTTCCAAAGCACCCGAGTCTTGCCAAGGCACGAACAACATTCAATCCCCATTTGCAAAAAAATAGGAATAGGCTGATGTTGCACTTCATAGCACAGCAAACCAGGGACCTCAAAGTGACTGGAAAGACAAATAGTTTCTTCTCCAAGCTCAGCACCATTGCAGCAATAACAGGAATAGCGAGGATTGTACCAATACCAATTCTGCATGAGTAAAGTTTTGAAGTAGGGAAGATATTATAAGCAGCAACATTTTAATTTCAAAATTGTGTGCAAGAACCCAAATACAGTGCTTGCAAACCCTGTAAGAAGTGTGAGTAAAGTTGGAGAGGAAGCTGAATAGTCAGGCTAAAAACTTGCCATTTGATCTTTCAATCTCTACTTGTGTAATTTGCCTTTTCCTCAAGATAGACCTTACCTAACTATTCTAAGAATAGTATCCAAAAGGCAAAAAAAAGGTCAAAAGCTAGGATTTTCCCAGAGTTGCCCATTGAATTGGGCACTATATTGAACAACTCCTGAGCCTCGGTGCAGAGACAGTGATTTTTTTAAGCTGATACAGAAGGCGGCACATTACCATTCACTCACACACACATACCCTGCTTCAGAGCAGATAAGTCTAGAGCACTCCTATGACAGATCCCTTTTTAAAGGGACTTTTAGATTTAAAGGTTTAAATCTAAAATTTCCCAATGATAATCCAACCTAAACTCAAGCCGTTGGTTGGTTGAACATACAAAAGCCGTTAGAACAAATCTAAACACACCAGCAGAGAAAAGAGCAGCGTTGGGAAGACAGACCAAGAGCTTATGCCACTTCGGTTGCCTTCTCCAAACCCCTCGCAACCCACGTTTCGGAGAGCCTCTCCACACGGTTCTTTTCCGCATTCCCCACCCAGCACAGCCGCGGTCCCAGCTCACTCAGGACCCACGCGGGATCGCTACGCCATCTCGCGGCAAATCCACGGAAACACCGACACGGTTGGCAAAACGGGGAAACATCTGCTGTGACCAGGAAGCTTCATCTTGTAGTCGTCTCTTCAGAGTGACCGAGGTGTGGGAAAAAAAGGTTCCTAGTACACCCTAATAAATCATCTTCATTCTTGCCCAGAAAAGTCTTTTTAACACGAGATGTGAACGTTTTGAGTTCATTCAACATAGCCTCCCTTTTGTGCGTAGGTGATTTCTCCACTGAAAACGTGATGTTTCTGCATTAAGTAGTAAGATCTGGCCTTCCCTGGGCAATGAAAAAAGTATCACCTTGTAAACTATTCATCTTCCTGTGACTGGGTTGCAATATAAGACACTAATAGCAACAAATTATTAGCAGAAATTACTTAGAGACATTAAAAAACACCTTTTGAGACACAGGGCTTCAGGTATATGAGCTTGCTCTTCTGAAGAGAGGACAGCGTGTCACTTGCTGACTGCTTACACATTTAAGGCAAGTTGGAGAATCCATCGGATGGGCAAGAAGCATCTCATTTCTTTGGCCTCCTTTATATGGAAGTTTCCCGTTTAATACTTGGCTAGATACACACTATCAACAGCCACGATCGGTTTCAAATCCAAGTATTTGTGCAAGTGCAATACGAGGTTTGGGTGGGGTTTTTTGTTGGGGTTTTTTTTTTTCCCCCTACAGAATTTGCCTAGGTTAGGGGCACAACAGGGAGATTCTTCATCCTCACAGCAAGAATCCTGTATGACTATATGGATCCAAAATACAGTAACATGGTTATCCTCATCCAGCTAGTTCCTTACTAACACAAGCACTAAAAAAACCTGAAGCAGGGAAAATGACAAAATGAAAAGCACCAAGTCTAAACAATGGAGTGTGAAAGAACTCCAGGCACAAAACTGTTCTAAGAAAAAAAAGGTAGAATTATCACCATTATTAAGGAAAATGCATCATTTCATAAAACAAGTTAGGACACAGCTCAGCCCTAGCAGATACCAGTCAAGCAAAAACACTCACTTCCATCGAGTTATAAAGAAATTGCTATTAGAAACAACTGTTTTGGATCCACACACAATTGGAATGCCAACCCAAAATCAAATTCTAAAAGTCAGAAGTGAGGACAGCCTCTGAATAACATTTACTGCTTTACACAGAACTGAAGCTACGCTGGTAGGTAAATAACTGAAGCTACCCAGGTATCACAGAACTAGCTATCCAGATGTTAGGGGAACAGCAGCACAACGAAGTCAAACTGTACTCAGGCAGCAACTGCTGAGTTAGTAGCAAGGTTCCAATCTACCTTTTTCTTCAGAGACCTCATCACTGTTGGCAAAAACAGTGGAACAGCATCTCAGAGCGGCTCCCACGTGTCAGAGTAGGTACTGAAAATGGGTACTGCGCTAGACAGTTGACGTTTATGTCATTATAGAATGAATACCTCTGTAAACGAACTGTATTATCAAACAAAAGAGCTAAAAGAAGTTACTACCTGTAGGTCTTCCTGGCAGTGTTTTACCACAGATGTAAGGGATACCAAACTAACTTGAGGAAAAAAGGTGGGAAAGTGCAGTTTTGCCATAGTTTCTGTTTTCTAGTCCATATCTCTCCAGTTAGATAGTGATTCCTTTACCAAAAACAGTCCCACAGAAAGTATAAATTTTATCATGAATGTTTATTATGAACAAACAACTTTACAATGCAGTCATTTCTAGTCCTCAGTACATGCTTGAAATAACTTCTCTGTCCTTGAAATCTTAGGGGGAGAAAAGTTATGGCTACACACAAATCCAGGATTTTTAAAATCAAGAGATCTTTAAAGGCAACCACTGAGATGTCTTCTGATTCAAGCTGCGAAAAATCCCTACCACCTGTGCATAAAACTCTTACAGAAACCTGTGAAATTGCAGCATGGAAGTGAAGGGCCAGACATGTGTTCCAATATCATATACCGAGGGACAGCTTTTAGTTTTATTACATTAGGTAATGCACTGCTTCAGGGCATGACAGTATTTTTGCATGGCAAAGAATGGTTTACTCCATCTAATGACTTTGGTAACAAAAAGATCAGACACTGCATATTATTATAAATGCTTTTAAAAAACACAAAACAGTAAGACCTGCACAAAAGGGAATAAATCTTCTGTTACCAAAGGCAAGGAGCGAGGAGATGTAGCAAAATCTTGTAAGTCATAGGTGCAAGGGTTCTGTCAGCTACTGCTCCTAGCTTTCAACAAATAGCACCTGAAATGACTGTCAAGTCTTTCTCTGAATCCAGGGTACTGAAGAGAAACTGCAGTTGGAAGTTCTGTTGTTTAAATACAACCAATCCTCAGAAAAAATGCAGCATGTCCAGGGTTTAACCAAAGGTTTTTTTGTTTCCAATTGTGCCACTTACTAAAAACAAGAGACCCAACTTCAACTGCCTGGGTATAGGTTAAGGCCAGATTCTTGTCACATAATAAAATGCCTTTTATTCAACATCTCTGGATTTTACTACTTCTTTTACCTTGGTTAGGTATGTTTCACAAAAGATGCATGCCCAAGGCCTCCTTGCAAAGATGCAAACACACCATGCCCAAGGTCTCCTTGCTTTTGTCTTCATTTATGTGGAAAAAAGAACTAGCATAAGAAGATAAACATAGATAACAAATTATAAGCTTCTGTCTGTAGGCAATGTCAACAGTAATAAAAGGCATTGCGAGAACACAAACATGTTTGAATGATACTGAGATCTATGAGGCAAAACAGCCTCAGCTACGGGTCCATATGCTTTAAGGAAAAAAAAAAAAAAATCAGCCTGACAAGTCATCTTGAAAACCCTATCACTGCAGGAAAGACATGACACTCCCCCTTCCTTTCCAGCACACCGCCAGACCGACAGAACATAATTGTTTCTAGACAGATACAACTGGTGCTTCTCTTTTTACAAGAGCTGATTAAGTACATAGAAGAGGTAAATTAAAAAATTGTTATAAATAAGATTTGGTAAAACCACAGAATTAAAAAAAATTCAAAGATTTATAAATACATTTTAAAATCCAGCCTTTTCCAAACTCCATCCCTACACACCCCATCTCCTCCTTTCCTTCCTTACCTCAGTAAGAACTGCTTTAACATTTCTTTAGTATAGAGCTGTTCTGCTAGTTTTGATAATCCCTACCTATTGCAGAGAATTGGTCACATTTACTGATGCTCTAAGCTGCATGGCTCATGGGTTAACAATACATTTTTGCTTACAATTCAAGATACCAACAAGAAGCAGAGAGACAACAAATCGGAAAGGGAAAATAAAACAGTTTTGAATACATTCTTAGATACATGAGGTAATATTTATTTGGGCTCTTCACAATACTTAAAATAAGACTATGCAGTTAGATGCAGAGCTTTTAACCCTGCTTTGACCTTTGACAGTCTCTTGTACAATAAACAAGTGCATTCTTCCCCAGATGACTAGGCATCACTGTCAATTATGAAAGGCACAGTTAAGTTTGCCTCTGATGAAACAAAGCATTTGGATAAAATTAAGCAGTGGGGAAGGGAACAAGCAAACTCAGTTAAAAACGTCATTTCAGACTTTTGAACCACCCTAGGAGCTTTAGTGTTTATCCAGTCCTGTAATCCCATGAACATCAGTATTTCAGTCATCAATCATCTGATGAAGGGGAATGGTGATGAACTTAAGAGTTTATGCAAATCTTCAAATAAGCAAGTGGAATTAATTTCAAGGGTTTACTTCAGCTAAGTGACACTTCAGATTAATTCAGTTGACTCTGAAGAAGCTATTTTGTTATTCAGACTCAATTGTCTTTTTATCTTCACAAGGACTAGGGTTACTGTATTTACCAAAGCCTAAGAAATCCAGAGAAGATTTTCTGAATACACAATCAGCTCTCCATTGGTGTGTGCAGTTTTATTATTTTTTTCCAACAGTGGCACCTTGTGATCAAAATTAAGTACTACAGCTTTCAAATACAACATCTCCCAAAATGGAAATCTGTAAGTGAACAAATCCAAAACAATAGTGGATATGGGTATCCCCACTAAAGACTGATTCAAATGCTTCTTCTTGCTAATCATTCCTAAAGGCCAACAACTGCACTTCTTGTAGCCCAAATAAAACCTTCAATTACATTGTGACAATTTAGACAACACATTTAACACATATGGTGTTATTTTCCCACTCATCTAATCACTACTGACTAGATAGGCAATGATGTTCATTCTATTTAAAAAAAAGAAACCAGCACTCTTCTGTTGCATCAATGTTCACATTAACCAAACCCTTATGAAGTCCACATGTAATCTCTACTCAAATCATTTCAAAATCTGTACAGACTTCCCTAATGAAAGTAAAATAAGATATGCATAAATTGTGAAATTTTAAAAATTGTTCAATGAAGTAAAAAGCCTTATTTGCTCAAGATTTGCAAATTTCAAATAACAGATGGAGAATTGCTATAAAAATCAAAGCACTAGAAATGTTAGCATCTCATCAATAATGCTTTGACTTGTTTGTGAGCCACTACTAGACAGTAGTGAGGACAAGAGGATCTGTAGGCAGATCTTCTTTTAGTTTTCTGACTAATCAAAACTACTCCATTTTCCAAACATAACCCATGAGCCAACCAATGTTTTACCTGCAACTTGGTAAAACAAATATTTATCCCAGTGTCAGAGTCAGATGCCCAAAGAGTCCCACTCATTCTGCAACTACCACTAATTTGGTCTTGGATTTATTATCCTCATTCTTGCGCTATGCTTCTCAATACATACTTGACTGTGTAGGCAAAGGCTGCAAAACCAACTATAACAAACAAGTTCGCCAAAGCTCCACCTAAAAGTCCATGGTTACGATTGGCCTGTTGGAGACCTGGATGATTGGCAGGTGCCAATGGTACATGCCCGTTAAGAAGGGGTATTCCATTCTGACCGTAGTGTGCTTCCCCATCAGGGACAACATCTGGTAAAGGGAGGGATGGAGGTCTGTTACTGAGCTCTTCTTGGGCTTTTTGTTTTTGTTTAATCTCCTGGAGAAAGAAAAAAGAAAACTGAATAGCTGGAAGTGAGAATGGTGAAGCTACTGGGTGTTTTCTGAAAAGATTTCAGAACCCAAGTTCTTACTTTGGAAAAGGATATGGTACACTTCTTTATACTGTAGGTCTTTTAAACTAAATTAACTGCATTACATACATTTGTACAGTCTCCCCAGCTTCTTCCAAAGTGACCTACTTCAGTAATTGACACTAACAATCATTTGGCCATGTTTAATTTTAGTTCACACGTACATTTTCTGAGAAGCCTTTTCTCAGAAATGAGAAATTCGTGCACCAAAACTCTTGCATGTCCAGCTTGTTTTGAATGCAAGACATTCAGCTGTTACCTATACATGATGATATCAACTGCATCAACACACTTACAGGGTTAGTTTAGTGCAAGGAAGATACATACCCTAACAAAAAAAAAAAAAGGTATCTCCCATTCTCAGAAGTAGGAAGAATGTAACAGTCTCTGATCTTAAAGGAGAAGAAATCTAGGATATTGATGAACCAAATACAAAGGTTGGTCCTACCCAAACTCAAGAAAACACAGTATACAATTCGAAAACACTGGGACTGCAACCACATCTACTGCATGTGCAGCTCAGTTAAGGCTATGATACCAATCCTAAATACACATATTTGATTCTCTGTACAATGGATCTTTGTGCAGCAGAAAAACAATTCCATTTCAAGATTCAAGTTTTTAATTCTTACACATCGCAAAAGTGCCTTTTAAAAGGCTTCCAGGATTGACAAAAGTAGCTACTGTCTGGGAAATGTCCTAGACGATTAGTTTACAGATCTGCACAGAGAATTTGAAAAAATACAGAAATCCAAATTATTGCACAGATTAATCCCCTTACCTCCACCACTTCAGGGAAGAGCTCGCAGAACACTTTGTCTTTTAAATTAAATGCTAAGCTTTGTGCAGCAAGCTGTCTTTTCTGTGAAGGAAACAAAAATTATCAGCAGTTACATATAAACAAAGTTAATATACTTTAATTCAACATCTGATTATTTCCCACAAGAATAGTGCAAACCACTAGCCAATTAGTTTCTAACATTTAAAACTTCATACTTGTGAATATTATTCACCACAACAGATATTTCTAGACATAAGTTACGTTCTCAATTCTTCACCTTATGGGATTCCTGTTCTGTATTAGTATGCCTGCTTGGCAGACACTTCAAGAGGAAGGAAGGAAGCCGAAAGTCAGTCCTAATCATACTGTTTACTAAAAGGGATTTTACGTTCTCTAAGAAATCCTCCCCCCATCCCCACACTACCCAAAATTGACTTGATTCATCTGCCCATCATCAGTAGTAGGCAACAACATATTCATTTACGTGATATGTAAGTGCCAGCTGCTGCTGCTGTTTAAACTTTGAGGTCACGTTCCCTAAGCTGACAAAAGGTACATCACAGAGTCTGGAGCTTACTGTGAACTCTGATGTCTCTATGCTGCCCAGTGTGGGGCCCTTTTCCACCATAAAACTAAGAAGGCCCGTCAAGATCGTTGAGACTGACCAAGCTGGATTCCATGTATCCGGGTGGAAATCAGTGATTGAAAGACACAACCTTCAAAAGAGTAAGACAGGCAGTGAGTTTTATTTTTGCCATTAAAATTACTACACATTATACATATTGCTAAAATGGTGTTAATTGCTTAAGTGTTAGAAGAAAATCCTTACCTTGTATTACACTTAAACCTTCCATTAGGTGTAATCATATAAATACTAGGAGGTTTAAAAGGAAATTCTCTGGGGAATATTAGTTTCCCATGATAATAGCCACCTGCGTTACATAAAGAGATGAATTACTTATTTTGCATGAAGATGAAGTCCTAAGCTGCTACTCAAAATGGGCCAAATAAAACCCTTTAATTATCTCCTTCTCCCCCTCACACTAAAGAGATCAAGCTCATCATCTTGTGCCTCTAAAACACAGGAATAATGAGCCACACCTGCAGTATATACTTTGGAGGCAATTCTTTCATATGCATATTACAAACAGTGCTTCCTGTTGTCAAGACCGTAATGCACTTCAGCTGGTCTTCTTTAAATGTATTTAATACAAATGGCTTAATTTTTACAGAAACACAGCTAATTGCAAATACAATCCTATGAAGAATGTGATTTCAAAAAGCATTTTGTGAGAGGCTCCAGAAGACACTGTGAAATATGCGACTAAAACAAATTAATAAGGCTTTTACGTTCCTCACTCTCTCCACAGAAATTCATAAAGAGAATACATGTCTCAGCTCACTGAGAACATCTATGTGGCAACAAAATGGGATTTTCTGAAATGATCTTTGACTGTCACATACTATCTCAAGTGAGTTATCTGTTCCAAGACCTTCAGCAATTACTTAATAGGAAGTTATCTGTCTTCAGTTTAACCTAAATTTTGTTTTGTTAGAATACTTGATAACAGAAAAATTACTAATAGACAGTGGTACCACTACCTCTTTTCAACAAGCTATCACACAAGTCACAGATAGCTGTGAAACTGCATTAACAGTTTTTAGAGCTATTTACAGTAGTTATATTTTCCCCATTCAAACAAGCATGCAATTACTCAAGCATGCCAATCACAACTTAAAGTACATGCACACTTTTGCTACATGCTAACTTTTACCTTCATAGGGAGTCATTTCAGGTCCCCGTACCACATAGTGCCTAAGACAAAGACGACAATTTAAACAGTATGAGAGCCATCACACAATCAGACATCAATTTCTCTAGAAAAATGAAGATTGATATCACTTCAGCAAAAGTTTCATACTCCACCTCCCAAAATCAAGATTCCCATACAATCTGTAGGAGTGAGGAAGTCAGACTGGATGACCTGGAAAATCTTGTTCTCTCCACAAGTGTATGAACAGTTCATTCTAATTCTTACCATTCAAGGATATTAGATGGGAGAGGCTCTGCACAGATATAAGGCACTGGATCTTTCTTAATTCGAAGGTAGTCTTGTTTAAGTCTCTGTGTTGCTGTCGTTGGTGCTCTCTTATTACTGTTGTTGCTCATCTAGTTATAAAAAAAAAAATATATAAACACAATCTCAATACAATCTTAACAGACACAGAGCTACTATGCTTCATTGAACACAGCTCCAGATTTTTGCAAAATCTACTTTATGGAGTATCTTTTAAAAATATAAATTAAATTACCATAACTTTTAAGTGCCAAGAACTATGCAAAAATCTTAACCAACTAACACATTCCCAAGAGACTCTATATTGCCAAAATGGGACAACACTCCTTCCAGAACACTGCTGCTTCAATACCACAGTGAATTGCTATCATGAAAATATGCTGCACTATAGAACTCACCTGAACTCTTAATAACCAGTCCTGTGTTTAGGCTGAGCACACATCATCATGACACCATTTTAAAGGGCTTAGTCTTTTTGAGCAATTAGTTTCCCTATTCAGTTTTAATATCTATTATGTAAATTTGCCCATGATTTAAATCCATTCACAGTTTCTACACATCCAGTTCTTTGAAATAAATAAATAACAAACAGAAAACCACAATAACCTTATTACTGACTTTGAGGTGCAGATTTTAAATTAAATCTGCTGCCTGCTTAAGAGTCAGTTGAATGTACAGAAGGGAATTTGAGACAGATTATTCTCTTCCAGATGAACAAAGACCTCATCCAAAATGAGACAAGTCAGTATGAAGAAAGGAAATTCCATGCTGCTTACAAGACAAAGAAAACATTAGCCCCTACAATGCACCTACACAACACATACCAATTAAAAACTGCTATTTAATGCACTTTCCCCTGAGAAATTTAGCAAGTTACTTAGTTTTATACATCGAAATTCAAGCAAGAACAAAAAGGAAAGATTTTACAAACAGCTGGTAGAAAGGAATAAGACAATGCTTACAATATGATAGCAGTATTTGACATGAAGACTAAGTTAAATGCCTATGACACTTTCTAATCCTTTACTTCAGATAGCCTAGTAAAATTTTTTAAGAAATTATATTTAAACCATGACCAATAACTGTATGTGGTCACATATTCAAACCCTACTCAAAATAAACACATTTCATCTAGCTTTTGTCAGAATTACTGTAAATCGTTGTTTGAAACCTACAGTATTTTTTCTTTAAGGGAGTCACACATGTTTTTAAGTCACAACTCTTAAAATCATAAATGAATTTTTCTCTAGAAAAGTCTGCTTTGACTTTTCGCATAAATTAAGACGTATCTTTTTAATTTTACATATTTGTTCTTAAGTCTTGCAACAGCGCCCCTCACTATGGCCTGCAAAAACGCACTGAAATATTTTACAGCACTTAGCTATTGGGATTTTAACGCCCCTCAAAGCCCCATCTGAAAGAACAGATGTATCTTAAACTCAGAAAATAACGGCAACATCTACAGAACCTACGACCGCAAACCGATTTTCCCATCTCGACAATACAATTTACCAGAAGCAAGCAGGAAAGCGAGCCGCTAGTCTTGACACTACCGAGCATCAGAAGCACGATGCGCCCAAGCCCTGCTCCCAGGCCGGCGGGGTGGGTCAGGGAACTAATACAAGGGCACCACAGGCCCAGGCCCCCCAAGCCCACAACTGCCTTGTGGAACGAGAAAGGCGCTTCTTTCTGCGGGTAGGCGTGCCCCCGCCCCTGCCGGTGGCCGCTCCGCGCCCGAGAAGATGGACAGCGAGTGGAAGAACCAAAGGGGCAAGAGGACAACCGGCCTACAGCGAGCCGGCTGCGCAGCACGGGGCCCACCAAGCCAGGGCAGGGAGAGAGAGGAAAGGAGAGAGCCAGTCGAGCCCTCCCCGCTCCTTGAGCTCCCTCATGGGCTCGGCGTGCCGGCCCAGGCCCCACTCACCTCTTCCTGCTACAGCAGGCCCCTCCACCGCCGGGACGCCCCACCTGCCTGCAGCCGGAGGCCAAGCGAGGGAGAGAGGGAAGGAGAGAGGGAAGGAGGCACGAAGGGAGAAAGGAAGGGAGCCGCACAAAGAGAAAACGTGCAAGGAAGAGCCGCGACCCCCAC